GCCCAGGACGAGAAGAGCATCTCGGAGCTGCGCGAGGACCGCAAGCTGCAGGAGATCGCGGGCGAGGACCTGACCAAGGTGGTGAGCCTGAAGGACAAGCTGGAGTTCGCCCCCCGGGCCGTGCTCAACAGGAACCGCCCCGAAAAGAGTTAATAAAGGGGTGACCGGGGCAAAAGGCCGCGCCCTGGAGCGGCCGCCGGCACTGCCCCGGGGCCTGCACGGCTTCCACCGGCCCGGCTCAGGCCCTCGCTACCCCTGCGGGCCCTCCGGAGGGTCAGATTCGCCCGAGCCGTGGATGTGGCCAAGGAACAGCCCCCAGACCCCGGTGGGAGCGGGCAGGGGGCCCTGCGAGGAGGTGGAGTGTGGCTGGAACTCATCGGCCCCCGGCCCGGCCTGGCCCCTGGAGCACAGAACCCTCCCGGCCTGGTTCCACCTGAGTCTCCTCAGGTTTGGCTTCTTCCATGGCGTGAACGTAAGAAGAAGGTTGGACCTGAGTGCCGTGAGATGGGGTCAGGCTGAGCACCGGCAGCAGGAGGAGCTGCTGCCCTGCTTCCAGATCTCGAGTGGCTCTTGGTGATCCCCAGCACAGCCCCACGCTACCACGTTACACCCACGGGAGCCTGAGCAGTGGTGGAGATCTCTGGGGACCCCTCTCTGCATCGTCCCTGCGAGGAAGGGTGACAGGGGGAGGTGGAAGTCCTGGCCCTGCTCCGTCGTGGCGCTGTGTGGGGAACAGGGGGATCTCTGCCCTCTGCCACAATAAACTTCTGTCAGTCCTCGGGCCTCTGTGTCTTCTGCATCAGCACGGCCCCAGCCCTGGCTCAGGGAGTGTCTCTGCTCCCTGTGTGTTCAAGAAGCATCTCCTGCAGTGGGACAAGTTCAATCGCTGTCCCCAACTGGGCACGGCCCTCGGGGCCTGGCAGCAGGGTGGTGGGCAGGAAGGAGGGGTAGGCACCGAAATCCCAGCCCGTGCTGTGGCTGTGCCTCCCTCCTGGCTCCCCCGGCCACATCATCTGCTTCCCATCCACCTCCTTATCTCGGCGACAGGAGCTGTGTCAGTGCTGGGTGGGGTCCCAACGGACTGGGGAGGTCCCGCTGGGGTGCTGGGCAGGGAGAGGCTGGCAGGAAGAGGCTGGCAGCGAGCACTGGGACTGGTGGCCAGTGTCACCTCCAGCCTCGGGCATTGCTGGCAGAGCAGGGACAAAGCCTGGCCAGAGGTGCTGAGCAGGGAGCCAGGCCGAGGCCGGGGCCGGGGTTATCGCTGCCTCCCGGCTTGTTTTTTCCCGTGGTGCCTGAGCAAGGCCCCAGTGCTGCCCCAGCCCGGCCTTCCCCTCCCGGGGACCATAAATCTGCCGTGCCCGGAGCAGAGCCCCGAGTCAGCAGCCAGTCAGCGTTTCACACACTCCGTCCTGCAGCCTCGGGGCCAGCTCCTGCCCTGCTGACAGCTTTACTGCCCTGCCCCGGCTCTGTTTGCCTCCTGAGCTGCTGTCCTGGGCTGGATCACTGCCCTCAGCCAGGCTCACAGCCCAGGAGTGCTCCAGCCTTTGCCACCACGGTGTGTGAGGGCAGCTGAGCCTGGGGAAGAAGGTGCAGGAGGAGTCTGGGGCTGATGCAAAGCCTGTCCCAGCCCTGTCCGGCTGCCACCTGCCCTGGGGATCACAGTGCCACCGCCTCGTCCCCCTGCCAGGCTGGCACTGTCCCCTGAAGCAGCCTCTGTCCTTGACCTCCTGCCTTCCCAGCCTGGCTGTGGGGTGATGGCTGGTCCCTATTGTGTGCCGGGGTGGGAACGGTGCCGTCCCTTTCCCCAGCTGGGACCGGCTCGGAAACGGCTCCAAAATGCCTTTGTTCCCCCCGCGCCAGAGTGGCTCCCCCGGCTGTTTATAGCCCATTGATCCGCCTGTTCCCAGGCCTGGCCGGGCACAATTGGGCTTTGGGGGGGCCTCGCTGCCCCGTTTCCTCTCCCGGGCCCATGCGGTGCTGGTCGGGGGGGCTGCTCCGGCGCGGTGGTGGAGTGATGCTGTTGGGAAGGGCTGAGCCCTGATGGTGACAGTTTGGGCATTGATGGCACCTGGCAGGGCAGCCCCTGCCCTGCGCCTGTCGTGGCTGCCTGTCGTGCTTCCAGCTGTTTTCCCGTCAGCTGCTTCCCGTGTGTCCAGGGACTCCCGTCTGTCCCCCTGGCTGTGGGGCTGTGGATTCCCGCAGGCGCTGGGACGGGGGTGAAGCCACTTCCCCGAGCCCCGTCGCCTTTCTCCTGAGCCCTCCCTTCCTCCCATTGAATCCCAACAATGTGCTGCCTGGGAAGCGCCAGCGGGACAAGAATAGGAGCCGGCAGGCGCTCAGGGCTGGGGTGAGCAGCCACAGCAGCTCACAAAGAATAAACCATTATCATAAAAACCTGCCCTCCCGAGCCTGCCCTCGGCTGCTCACACACAGCTCCTTGGTCTGTTCCAGCGGGTTTGTAATCCAGCTGTTCCCAGCACGGCCCAGCTGGGCACTGCAGTGGGAGCGTGGCAAGGAGCTGTGCCAGCAGCCAGCCTGTCCCCAGGCAGGGAGTCCCATTCCTGGCCTTGAGGCCGGCATTTTGTGGGAGAGCATCCTCCAAGGCTTGTCCAGCTTCAGGGATAACCCCGTGTCCAGAGCCGGCTGTGACTGCATAGTGCCACGGAGCAGGGATTGAATCCAGCAGCCACAAGTTCTCCCTGTCCCTGCCCAGCCCATGGTGTCCATGTCCCAGGCTCAGGGGGGTCAAGGTGGCTGTGGTGCCCTTCACAGGACCCTGGTGCCTTGCTCCTCCAAGGGTGGCTGCAGCTTCCCTGGGTTTGTCTCCGGGATCCATCATGAACAGCTCAGGAGAGGAGCAGGTGGCGGTTTCCGGAGGCAGGATGCCGGGATCCAGCTGTGCCCCAGCTCCCGGGGGTGGCTCAGGGGCCTGGGACAGCTGCTGTGCAGGATGGGGGGCACTGAGACCCCCCCAGCCTCTCAGCACACCTGGATGGCTGCAGAGGACGTCCGGTGAGATCAGACAGGGACGCACCAGCTGTGCAGGGCTGGGGACGCTGTGACCCTGCACTGGCACGGGGATGGCCCAGGGCCGGCCGTCCCCTTCCCAGTAGGATGATGACACTTTGGGAGAGAGGAGCAGTGTGGGAGCTGGTGGGGGGAGCTGGGGCCTGCAGGGACTCACGGTCCCGGGACACCCTGGCCCTGCCCGTGGTGTGGTGTCCCCGTGGCCCGGGGACCCAGAGGGTGCACGGCAGAGCAGACAACTCGTCCCCTCAGCGCATCCCCCACAGCCCCTGGGGACAGCTGCTCCCTCCCAGCCCAGGCTTTTCCCAGGCTCCAGTTTTGCCCTTTTCCCGAGAGCAGCCGAGTCCTTTCCCAGCCTTCACATCTCACTTGCCTCTTCCTGCCATGGCTCCCTCCAGGCTGGGCCTGGTGGCCCCTTCTGTGGCCGGCAAAGGCCCTAAAGTACTGTGGGAGAGGATCAGTCACATCTCTTGAGCCCTGACTGGGGACAGCTGCAGTGGGACATGTTCCATTCCCACTCGGCATTGCCTTTTCCAGCAGCCACAGCCCAGGGCTGACTCCCCATCCCCAGCACCCCAGGACCACCACAGCTCCTTGCTTTCGGACAGCATCCACCTTCCCATGCCAGGAAAAGCCCCTGGCTCTGCAGGCAGCAGCCCCTGCCCTCCTGGTGTTGCATCAGGATGATGCCCTGAGCTGCTGGCAGGGGTAGGACCCATCCCAGGGTGGGCACCACGGTCCTGGTGCCTCCACACGAGGAAGTGGCCGGGGTGGGGGAGTGACAATGTCAGGATGCGGGAAGTCGTCGGGGCTATTGAGCGCGTTTCCTCCCGCCCGCGGTTCTCACACGGGGTGCATTGTCTGCCGTGCCCGCGCGTGGAGGGCTAAATATAACCCCGGGGAGGAAGGGAGCTCCGTGGGGTTTGCCTTTCCTTCGCTGGCAGCGGCTGGGAAGGGCAGGATTGCTCCTGGTTTGGGGTTGCCCTGATGGTGAGTGCTGCTGCGGACAGGGCTCCGTGCCTGGCCTGGGAGGAGGATGCTCCCGCCTGCTCCTGCTCCCTCTGAAGGGGTGTGGGAAATGGGGCACTGGGAAGCTGCAGGCAAAGCCCTGGGCATGGACAGGGCCCCTGCGGGGAAGGGGGGCCACGCTGTGGCCCTGCCTGCCATGGCCCTGCCCATCCCTCTGCCCGTCCTCCCCCTCAGCTGTGATTCTGCTCCTGCTGTGGCTCTTCCTGAGAGCAGGACAGATTTAGACACTTGCTGTTTGCTGTGCACTGGGAAAGCTTAAAAATAAACCCCTTGGTGCTCATCCAGTGTCTTTGGCAGAGCTTTTCAGGTAGGACAGCCCTCTGCCCCCGACCATGGCAGAACTGGGCAGGGAAAGCCCAGCACAGACTGGTCCTAACTGGGAAGAGGGCAGAAACATCTCTGCAGAGGAGCCACAGGGCTCCTGGGGGCTGTGACCGTTGTTAGACCAGCACCCTCCGAGGGAATTGGGGTCCCGGGGAGTGTGTGGCTCCTCCAGGACTGGCAGAGCTGCCCCAAAGTGTTCCCTAACTCAGGGGGTGCCCCATGATGAGTCCCCTCCCTGCAGCCCCCCGGCTGCCTGTGCCAGCACAGGGCTCAGCATCCCAGCGCTGGGGGAGCGAGAGCCGTTCCCAGAAAGGCACCGGAGGGCCCTGTTTACTCAGGAGGGAGCGCGGAGGTGTGAGAAAGGCCGGCCAGACAGGTCTGTCCCCGGGCTGTGCCAAAGGGCCCTTATCAGCTCCAAACTTTGATTTGCCTAAGGGCCGCCCTCCCGCCTTCTGGGGGGGCCGCTGCCAACCCCGCAGGTGAGCCCCTGGCTGTTGTTGTTGGCACGTGCCACGGCGGGGCCCGGCGGCCGCGGGGTCACTCCGGCTGCCCCCCGAGCGCTTTGTCACAACACGGGAACAATAGCGGGACGCGGAGCCGTGTTTGGGCACCGTGTCCAGGGGCTCGGCCGTCTTGTTTTCCACCTTGCGGGGTCGCTGGGAAAAGCGTGACGCTCCCTCCCGCTGCCAACAAAAATAGGAGTCTCGGAGAGCGGGGAGGTGAGCGGGGGACACGGCGGTGGGTAAACACACAGCACGGCTGCTCCCATCCCTGTCGCACGGGCACATCCTCCTGGCTGCTCTCCCCAGAGCCACAGTGGGGCTCTGCAGCTCTGATATTCCACAGTATTCCCCAGGGAATCAGTGGGGCAACAGTGGGAGCAGGGCAGGGTCCCTCTGGAGATGGTGGGAGCAGGGCAGAGTTATTCCAGGCAGGGTTTGCCCCAGTGTCCTCATGGAGGGAAGAGCTGGGAGCTGGTGGTGTGCACCCCTGTGCACCCCAGGCCCCCACCCAGGGGGATTTTCACCCCCCTCGTCCCCTGGAGGGAGGAAGCCAAGGGTGGGCTCGGCTGCCAGCCCAGGCTCTGCCCCAAGGGCAGCTCAGCCGGGTGCCTCCCTCCTCATTTCCTCCAGGGGCCGATGGCAGCGATACTGCCCCATATCACCCATATTTCATCTTCTCCAGGGTATTTTTAGCCCGTTCCACCCTTGCTGGAGAGGCCCTTGGCAGAGAGCAAGCTCTGCCCCAGCCTGGCTCAGCCAGAGAAACTAAACAACCGCCCCAGCCACATTGTGTGCCTTTATCTGCAGCTCATTTCCACCTATTATGCAGCTGCAAGCGGCTCCACGGCCTCTGCTGGGTTTATCTGCAGCAGAGGGAGAGGGGCTGAGCTCTGCCTGGGGCCACCATGGGCCTGTGACACGACAGCCCTGTCAGAACCCTGAGCTGAGGCTGGGCTCCAGGGGACAGGACACTACAGCAGGGACAGTTGTGATTTCAGGGGATGAGTGGCCCACTCTCCCCCCCAGTCCCATCCCTCTCAGGACAGCATCCTTCCCCCTCCCTCAGCCCCAAACCCTCACCTGCCCTCCCAGAATCAGCTGGAGGCTTCAGGAAGCACAGTCACACCACACTTCACCTTTTCTCATTCATCCAACTTTATTCAACAAGATGCAACACCGAGTCTGCCAGGGGGAAAGGAAACAGCACTGAGGGCAGTGCCCACATCCTGCACTCGTGCCTGGGTCACACAGGACCTTCAGCCCTTTGGTCACAGCAGGACCATCCCCTCTCACAGCATCGGTGGGCTGGGGAAGTTGGGGGACAGGTCCCATGGCAGCAGTTGGTTCTTCCATCCCCCCCTGGCACCTCAGCCCACAGCAGGAGATGACTAGTGCAAAGTAATAAAACCCAGTGACCCTCCAAACCAGAAGTTGCTGGTCTGATTCCTCCCCATAACCCCCAGGGCTCCAAGGCACATGGACGTGGCTCCCCAGATCCCCTGCAAACTGCACCTTTAAGACAGAAAGCTCCGTGCTCAGGCCAGCAGGTTAAAAATAACTTAAAGGCACAAATCCCATGGGAAAGGGTCCAGGGCCAGGAGGGCAGGGGGAACTCACACTCCTGGGTCACCCGTGCTGACCCTGCAGCCATTGGGATCTGCCGGTCACGACAGAGCTGCCACTGGATTAACCCCCCTGTGTCCCATGGGGAGGGGGCAGCTCCGGCAGCAAACCCTGGACAGATGCCAGGGTCACTGGAATGGGACGGGGCTGGTGGCCAGGATCTGTCAGCACTGCTCCAGCCCAGCTTCCCGTGTCTGTCCCAGGCTCAGCCTGCTCCGTGCGGAGGCTGGAGGGGAGCAGCTTCCCACGGCCACACTCCCGGCTCTCATCCCGGCAGAGGCTCTGGGGTCCGGCCGAGCCGCAGCTCCCGATGGCCAGCAGCCTCCTGCTACAGCCCCAGGGACAGCCTGTTCCACAGGGTGGCTCCAGGGATTTATTTCTCCCTTTCCCAGAGCGAGGCACACGGGACACGGCGTCCCGGGGAACTTTCTGCAGTTTCCTTCCTTGCGGGGTCATGGGGGAAAACAGAAGAGAGCAGAGGCTGCGCTCAGCCCCACTCCCGAGCATCCCATCTCCAGGGGGGAGTGTGTCCATAAGGCACAGCACCAGGCAGGAGGCAGCTGCCTGCCCACAGGCAGCACCTCTGCAGGCAGGTGGGACAGGGGAAGGTCCCCCTGCCAGCCGGGGCCAGCCCGGCACTACACGTACTGCTTTTTGGAGGCGGAGCTCCCGGGCCGGCTGCACGGCTTCTCCTCCGGGGCAGAGGCTTCAGCAGCCCGGGGGGCGTAGGGGTCCGACAGGGGCCTGCTGCCACTGCCCAGCGCCAGGCTCTCCTCGTTGTGGAAGTTGGCCCAGTTCTGCTCGCTGGAGAGCTTGTTGTAGGTCTGGTAGGACGGCACGTGGCTCTCGGCCATGGGCAGGAACGGGTAGTGCTTGGGTGCGTAGGGATCCGACACCATGTCCTGGGCAAAGACGTCCCGGCTCGGCACGACCGGCCCCGACTCCTTCTTGATGTTGCTGAGCAGGTTCTTGCAGCAGAGGTGGAAGAGCTCCAGGAGGTTCAGGATCAAGGAGATCAGGCCCATCACCAGCATGAAGATGATGAAGATGCTCTTCTCGGTGGGGCGGGAGATGAAGCAATCCACCTGGTGGGGGCAGGGGTCCCTCTTGCACACGTAGCGGGGCACCATGGAGAAGCCGTACAGGTACCACTGGCCGACGAGGAAACCAGCCTCGAAGATGCTCTTGCAGATCACGCTGATGATGTAGGTCCACATCAGCGCCCCTCGGATCTTGAGCCGCCCGTCCTCTGTCACGTAGATCTTGGACATCTTCTTCTCCACGGCTGCCAGGGCCTGCTCGATCTTCGGGTCCTTGCTGTGGACAGCCCGGAGCTCACTCTGCTGCTGCTTCAGCTTCTCCTCCCTCCGGGACAGGTAGATAACATGGCCCAGGTAAATCAGGGTTGGGGTGCTGACAAAGAGGAACTGGAGCACCCAGTAGCGGATGTGGGAGATGGGGAAGGCTTTGTCGTAGCAGACGTTGGTGCAGCCCGGCTGCTTGGTGTTACACACGAAATCCGACTGCTCGTCCCCCCACACGGACTCCCCGGCCAGGCCCAGGATGAGGATGCGGAAGATGAAGAGCACGGTGAGCCAGATCTTCCCGATCGCGGTCGAGTGCTCCTGGACTTGGTCCAGCAGTTTCTCCAGGAACTCCCAGTCACCCATCTTCTAGGGAGCCTGTGCCTCTGCCAGCAGAGAGGGGAGAGCAGGCACATCAATCCCCTCTTTCCATGCTGAGGAGCACAGGGCAGATAGGGCCACCTAAGCCCCGTGATTTTTTGGGATAGAGCTGCTCTGTCCCAGCAAACCCATTGAGGGACATCCCACACCTGAGGGAAGCACCCAGGCTTTCTGAGACCTGGAGGGCTCCTTCTACTCACCCCTGCCCAGTGCAGGAACACGGGGCAGGGGGAGAAGAGGCAGCACAGGGATTCACCTGCCCCAGCAGCACCCAGCCCACAGCTCATGGCTGTGGGACGCTGGACCCCCAGCATCCTCCCTTCGCCCAGCGGACCCCTAGCACCCCTCACCGACCTCCTGCTGCTGCGGGGACCCCTAGGAGCCCAGCCGGCACCCCGCGGGTGCTCAGCCCCGCAGCCCGGCTGGGAAGGAGCGAGAGGGCGCCTGCAGCCCCGGCTCCTTATTAACCGCTGCTAATTAAGCGCAGAAATGCCGGCTGTGCCGTTAAAGGCACCCGGGCAGCGGCGGGGCTCGGGGGTGCCCGCGGTGGGGGTGCCCCGTCCCCAGGCGGTGTCCCCGAGCGGCGCCGGTGTCCCGGCGGTCCCGGCGGTCCCCACTCACCTCCGCTGCGCCGGGAACGTCCCGCCGGGCTCGGGCCGCGCTGAGTGTGAGGGGTCGGGCCGGGATCCGCGGCGGCTCCTGTCTTGCGGGGCCCGGGGGAGGAGCGCGGCAGGAAACCGGGGGGCCGGGGCTTTAGTGCCGGGCCGGGCCGCAGGTGTGCGGGGCCGCCCCCTCCCGCCGCCCCCCGACGAGGGGGCGGCCCCGGCGGGCGGGGCGGGGGCAGCGGGGACCCCCAGAGACGGCCCGGACCCGTCGGGGCCGAAGCCGGTGGGGGACAGTGGGAAACCCCGCTGTTCCCGTCCGCTCGTCCCCGGCTGCAGCCCCGCCACCGGGCAAACGCGCTGAGCGGGGCAGGGACCCCCGGGATGCTCCGTCCCCTGCCCGACAGCGTGTCCCCGGAATGTCCCGTCCCCCGCCCGGTGTCCGGGGATGTTCCGTCCCCTGCCCGGCGAGGTGTCCCCGGAATGTCCCGTCCCCCGCCCAGCGTCCTGGGAATGTCCCGTCCCCTGCTCCCGGGGTGTCCCCGGGATGCTCCGTCCCCCGCTCAGTGTCCGGGGATGTTCCGTCCCCTACCCGGCGGGGTGTCCCGGGAATGTCCCGTCCCCTGCCCAGCGTCCTCGGAATGTCCCGTCCCCTGCCCGGCGGGGTGTCCCCGGGATGCTCCGTCCCCCGCCCGGTGTCCGGGGATGTTCCGTCCCTGCCCGCTCGTGGTTGTCCCCGCGGGTCCGTGCGGCGCGGCGGGCGCTGGGTGGTGCTGGAGCCCCACCGGAGCGCGGCCCCGGTCCCGCATCCCGCCGGTTCCCGGGATCAGCCCCACCGGAGCCCTGCCCGGGACCTGCCCGCGAGTTTCAGATGGAACTTTGCTGTCGGGGGTCTCGACACGCACCACGACACGCTCGTGGGGCTGCGGAGTGCGGGCGGGCCGAGAGCAGCTGGGAACAGCGGACCCTCCGCTAGCGCTGCTTAAGGAGAGATTAAATGGAAATAATTTCTGTTTATTATAATATTTATCAAGGTTTAGCAAATAATTGATGCTGATCCTTCCTTGATTTCCTTGGAGCCCAGCGTGCGGTTCTGCTGAGTTAAGGTTTAACGACGCGTGACCAGCCGGGAGAGGCGGAGCGGGAGGAGCGAGCCCGACCCGGGGCTCCACTGCCCTGCCCTGCCCGGCTGCGGGCTCCTGGGGAACCTCTGCAAACCCATGTCATCTGCCCTCACCAGTCCCCCCGATTTCCAGCGAGCAGAGCAGATCCCGGTGTCTCCAAGCAATGTTTTATTGGATCCGTAGCTTGTACAATGTGTGACGTGTCGGTCTGAGGTAAGTGGGACACAGAGGCACCAAGGGAAGCAGCAGAGACAGAAATGGCATTTGGGCAAGACATGGCACGGCGCTCGTGTGAGCCAAGGGGGAGAAGCTGCCCTGCCCCAATACTGTCAAACTGGGCAAACTGGGCCAAGAGAACAGTTGGCAACAGCCTGGAGCTCTGCTCCTCTGTCATTGCTTCAGGTGCATGAAGAGAGCTCCTGCCGTGGTGCCGAGCCCAGAATTCCTTTAGATTTTTCGGTACAAAATACAGGAGGATGAAACAGTGCTTGGAACTGTGCACTTGTGAGGCACAGTGAGTTGGGAGTGCCACCATGCTGGGTGACACCAGCTCTGGTTGGGCACCAGTGAGTGCACTCACACCCATCATGGGAGCAGCAGAGCTGGAGGACCTGAGAAGATCTGTCCAAGCTTGTGGCACAACTCTGGCAGAGCTCCAGGGCTGCCCTCGCCTTACCTGTGTCTGCTCAAGCACCCATGGGTCTCTCTCCAGGGATGTTAGTTTGTTGGGTTTAGTCATTTTTCACCCAGTTTGTTGACTCTTGAGGGTTCAGGGGTGGCTGGAAAAGCTGCTGGGCCAAGGGGAATGTGAACCAGCTGGGACGGGCGAGCTCACAGCTCCTCTCCTCTGTGGGAAGAACAGACACCCTCAGGCATGCCCACGGGCAGCCAGCACCCACCTGCCACCACGCCACTGGGACACCCGGGGATGTGCCCACGGTCCCAGGCAGGAGAGTTCCCATGGATTTGTCCCCCTCCCCTCACAGCCATCGAGGTCCCGGCTGAAGAGTCCGGCGGTGACATTGCTGGTGGTCACGTCTGGTGCCAACCATCTCTGGCACATGCCAGGACACTTTCTCCCTCCACCCTCCCCTCCCAGCACCGTTCAGACAGCAGTCAGGGCTGCCACACACCTAGTCTGGGACTTGTTGTCCTTCTCCTCCGGCTTGAGGTGGCAGTGGCAGGTGGAGGCCTTGCTGTAGCTGACGGAGCGCTTGGATTTCTTCCACTTCCGTGCACCGCGGACAACTCGCTTGAAGATGAGGTAGAAGATCTCACAGACGGTGAGGATGATGCAGATGGAGGAGGCTCCGACCATGAAATAGGTGAAGACCCTTTTCTCGGTGGGCCGGGCGATGTAGCAGTCCACGGTGTTGGGGCAGGGATCCACGTTGGTGCACTTGACCAGCCGTGGCAAGTCGAAGCTGTCCCACATCTTGTGGAGGAGGTAGAGGAACAGGATCTCTATGATGAGCTTGAAGAAGAGGCTGAGCAGGTAGGTCCACCACAGCCCGCCGTGCTTCTTGCCCGTGTTGCTGTAGAGCTTGGGGCAGTTCTCCCCGTTCTTCTCCCGGTTCTTCTTCTCGCGGTCCTCCCGGTAGGCCACGTGCATGATGACCAGGAGGGAGGGACAAGTGACAAAGATGAGCTGCAGGGCCCAGAGGCGGATGTGAGAGATGGGGAAGAAGTAGTCGTAGCAGACGTTGGTACAGCCCGGCTGTCGCGTGTTGCAGTCAAAGTCCTTCTGCTCGTCCCCCCACACGCGCTCGGCCGCCACCACATAGACCAGGACACGGAAGACGAAGACCACGGAGAGCCAGATGCGGCCAAAGGCTGTGGAGTACTTGTTGACCCCGCTGAGCAGTGCCTGCAGCGTTTTCCAATCCATGGTGGCCGGTGGAGACCAAAGTCACCCGACCCTGGAGAGGTGGCAGGAGCGAAGGGTGAGGAGCAATGGGAGGTGCGTGTCCCTCACTGCACTAAATCCCACTGACCCCTGGACTCCCCCATGTGGGGTGGGGGGACCATCACCCTGGCAGACAGCAAAGCCTGTCCCCACACTCTCCTGGTGACAGAGGTGACTCAACCTCTCAGCACTTCCTTCCCACGGAGCCTCTGCCCCAAGGGATGAGCCACCCAGCCAAGTCCCCACCACCAACCCCCCGCCTGACTGTGTGCGTTGGTGCAAACCCGCAGCAGGATCTGCTGGAGCGAGCCAGGATCAACAGCCCAAGGGGAAGTGGCTGCTGCAGCAGTGCTGGGCTGCCGGGACATGCCAGGGACCGGTTTTTCTGTCTCACAGGTGATGCCTGAGGCAGCCCAAGCACGGGTGAGAGCGGGGCTGCAGAAAGGGACGGTCTGTGCGTGTCACCAGCACGTCACCCTGGCTGGGGCTCTGCTCCTGCTCCCGTTCCTGCCCTGGCAGCAACGCCGGAGGCTCCGACAGCAAAAGCGGCTCCGCAGCTCAGCCTGGGGCTGCCCCACATGAGGAGGGTGGCACACTAAGCCCGACCCAGAGCTTTACTGCACCTGGATTTACAAACCCGGGTGGGTTTTATAACCCTCTGTGCTGTGAAGGTGCCTGCCCTGAGAAAGGGACTCACAGGACCACAGCTGGGTCATTTCCACTTTTAAGGAGCTGCCGCTGCCTGTGGCCAACCCGGTGCCCTCCGAGACGTACCTGGAGGAGGCTCAGGCTCCTTCCCTGCTCACCGGGAGCTGTGGGGTGGGAAGTGCTCAGCACGGGGCATGGCGGGGGTGCGATGGCACTCTGGTGATCAGGGTCCCCTCATCCGGGGGGGCTGCACAGTGCAGTGTCCTGGGGCTGCAGGGAAGGAACAGAGCCTGGAGCAATGCCCAGAGCCCACGTGGCAGCCCGGGAGCCCAGGCTTGGCCAGAGCCACCCTGCAGCGAGCCCCAGACCCACACAGGGACACCTCGACGAGCAGCTGAGCCAAGTGGGGCCAGGCTGGGGTCCTGTGCCAACAAGTGCCAGGGCAGTGCCTCTGCCCATGCCCACCTTCGTTCACCACCCTGCTGAAAACAGATCATCCTCCCTGGCAAACCAGTGAGCCAGGGATGGGGAGCAATCACAGGGTTCCCACCCAGCCCTTGGCTTTAAACTCAGGAGAGGGGAGCTGCTGCTTTCCTCCCAAACACCGGTGCTGGTGGCTGGAACCCGGACTCCCTGCACACCCCCCCCAGCCTGCCAATTCGCCCCCACCCCCAGTGCCCTGCCAGCAATCCACCCAGCACCCACCTGCCCAGCTCAGCCCAGTGCCAGCTCCAGCCACGGACCCGCAGCAGGGTGGGAAGGGGACGTGACCCCCATACCAAGCTCTGCGCTGAGCCTCGTGCCAGTCCCTGTGCTCTGGGAGCCCCACAGCTCCCTCCCGGTGCTGTCTGGGCGCCAGGCAGGGCAGGGGCAGCGCTCAGGTGTGCTCAGCTCTGCCGGCAGAGCCCGTGTGGCTCCCGCAGAGCTCAGCACCCTCTCCAGCCAGCCCCCGGAATGCCAGCCCGCTGCGTCACCGCCCGGTCCTGCCCCGCGTGGGCGCAGGGCGTTGGACCCGAAAGCGCCCGGCTCCCACCTCTGTGGGGTGCAAACGCAGCAGAGCCGCTGTCTCTGGGGGGGCTCAGCCCACGAGGAGGGTGGTGGGACAGAGGAGCAAGGCCTGGGGTGGCCATTCCTGCTCCTGGGCGGTGCCATGCTGTACCATCCCCCTGTGTCACCCCCCAGGCGAGCAGCCCTGGCATGGCCTGGGGGGTCCCGCCGTGGCACTGTGTGATGTTGAGGTCCCCACTTTTGGTCCCTGCAGGCCCAACAGTCCCAGCCATAACCCAACTCCCACCTGCACCCCGTCACACCAAACACGGCTCCCACTGCGCCCTGTTACACTGCGGGGTCTGTCCCCCACAGCCCGAGGCCCCCAGCAGCCCCCCAGCACCCTGTGCCCCTGGAGGTACCTGTCCCGCAGGGAAGGAGCCGCAGGAAGGTGTCCAGATCCAGGCAGCTCTCGGGGTAGGGAAGCTCCTTCCCAGCCACAGCCCTCCCGCACACCCAGGGCTTGCCTGTGGAGCTGAGTGTGTGTGGGGAGGGGAAGGGTGGTTGGTTCAGTTCCCAGTAACTGGGTGAGTCTGGCAAACAGCTCCTGGAGAGGTTCTTGTCCGTGCACATGCACACACACGCTCAGGCTGAACAACAAAGGACATGGACGGGGCCGGATTCCTCCACGTGCAACAGCAGCAGCTCCTGCCAGGTGATGCCCTGACCCCCACCAGGGTGCTCTGGGCACTGCAGACCCAGCAGCAGGACCGGGGTGACAGGGATGGACACCGGGCTTGCACCGTCCCCCAGCTGTGGGGCCACCAGCACCAGTTGTTAAGAACCACGGATGACTCACCCAATCCTGAAATGATTTTGCTGTGGTAAGAGTTTTGCAACAGCTCCCTGGTATCTCCAACCTACAGCAACTTGCAGCCGCCACCCTGGCAGGGCCGGGAAGGTCTGATGGGACCTTTCCCAAAGAGCAGGATGGCAGCAGGGTCTCCACGCAGTGGGACCCTGCCCTGCTGCTGCCTCCAGCCGCACCCCCTTGGGACCTGGAATGTGTCCCCAAGGGGGATGTCCCTCTCCCTGGTGGCTCCCAGGAGGCTGAGCCAGCCCCATCCTGCCGGAGCAGCCGGATGCCCCATGGAGCAGCCCCATTTGAGGTCTTTGCCAACAGATCTCGGCAGGAATGTGCCTCCCCTTGCCTTCAGTTCACCTGGTCTTTAGGGTGCCCTGAGGCTTTTCTGACATCCTCTGGCACGCCCTGGAGACAAGCAGCAAGGGAGCCTCACGGGAGCCTTGCCAGAGCCACCCCTCCGATGGGACACATCTGAAGAGCCCCTGGGTGCTTGGTGCCAGAGAGGTTTGCTCCCCACTCTCCTGGTGGACAAGGAGCCACTTGCCCAGAGGTTTCTTGGCTCCAGGAGGTCAAATAAAGTGAGTGAGGGTTTGCCCAGCTGGGGACACACAGGAATGGGAGCCCAGGAGATGCCTGGGGTGCAGAGAAGGGTGAGCCCAGAGGAGGGGGCAGGCACAGGAACCCCCATCCTGGACAAGAGCAAAGTGGGAGCTCCCTCAGCCAGGAACTGCCCTGTCCTATCGGCAGGATCAGGAATTTGAGCTATGTTGTGGCAGAGAGCTTGTCAGGAATCTGGGGGCTGTGACCCTCAAGATGATAAACCCAGGAGAGAGGGAAGTGGTTGAGAACCACTGGCAGCTCTGATTTCTTGTGCAGGCAGCAGCTCCCTGCCCTGCAGCCAAACCCTGTAAGAGCGGGGCCAGACCCCCCCTTGGGCAGTCTCTTGCCTGCAATTTTGGAATTTCAGGAGAGGCCACGTGGGCCATGGTGAGAAAGTTCAGGTGCTTTTGGCCTGGGCAGATTTCCCTGAGGCAGTTGGGTGGGGAGCAGAAACACCCCGTGCCTTGCAGTGTTTCGCAGTGCTGAGCTGGGTGTTTGCCAGCAAAGGGCACATCCCTGTGCCCCCTCCACCACCCCTCTGCCAACTGGTCCAGTGTGGGCACGGGGACAAGGTGCCAGCATGGTTCAGCAGCTCTCAGCACGCGAAGAACTTCAGGTATGTGCCCTGGGTACGTCACCACGTTTCCACCCTGCTCCAGCTCAGCGGGGTGATGGGTGAAAGGCTTCAGTGCCAGATGTGAACACTGAAACACCCAGTGACCTCCTTGGATCCTCCCCAAAGGAAAAACCCAAGCAGTGGAGCAGGTGGCCGCTGCAGTGGCAGAAAAACCTCCAAGTCTCTTTTAAAGAGTCTTAAATGGGGCGTCACAGGAGGTTGGACTCGGGCCTTTTATTCCAGCTTCCTGCCTGCCAACAGCATCCCAGCTGTCCTGCTCCAGGGCCACGTCCCCAGGGATGAGACTCCCCCACGAGCACAGGGCACGGGAGTCACGGGGTCCTGGGAGCAGCCACTGGCTCCAGCACACTGGACATAAATCAGAGAGTTTCTCCTCAATTCCCAGCAAAGAGGTGGGGTTTGGCCAGGGAAGAAACAAGCCCAAGCTGGGAGGGCCAGGCTACCCCTGACCTGCACACACAGACCTCTCCACATCCCTGCCTGGGTTGGAGTTACTGGTGGGTTTCTTTGAAATCCCCTCTCCCCTGGATTCAGGGGCTCTTCTGGGACTCCACAGGAACATACAGGGGGATTCCCTGTGGGATGATGCAAAATATAGGAAATAGTCAGCTTTTATTTTGACACCCCCCAGTTTATTTGCTTTGCTGACACTGGTCCTGCCTCTGTATCCCAGGATGTGTCCCAGTTCCCCATTTCTGCAGCAACGATCAAGGCAACTCGGGGGGAAACACATCAGAAAGAATCAGCCAAACACTCCCATTTGTGGGGCTGGTTGGGGCTGATCCCAAGCCTGGGTGATGCAAGACACCCCGAGCTCTGTGGAGCAGCTGCAATGTCTGCTCTGAGCACCACAGAACTGCACAACAACACCCAGCAACTGGATCTTCAGGTCTCTCCCAACGGGGCAGCAGCTCCAGCTGTGCTTTGATGTGCGGAAGCGGGACAGGGAGGTTCTCCTGGGGCTCATCTCTGCCCCATTAGTGCCTGCACAGGGAACACCTCGAGGTTTCACCCACGGGACAGCCCGGAGCAGGAGCGGCCAACCTTGCTGGAAAACAAACAGCCCAGCCCATGCTCTTTAAATCGGGGCAATGGCTCGCACACAAAGAACAACTTTGTGTTCTCTCTCACGTGAGTGAGAGGCCTCAGGAAAGAAAACTTTCTGGCGGATGATCCAGCAACGGGAGCAGATAGGAGGGAGGCAGACACCAAGCACAGCTTCACATAGAAGGAGGTGGAAAAAAAACCTACCTGTACTCCACCATCTGCC